CCTAAATAACGTTCTTCCAGCAGAACAAAGATAGTTAAAGTTAGAATGTTAAGGACAAGTATTATAAATATAATGGGTAGGACTATAGGTGCGATTATAATAATGCTAGTTTACAAGACAGTTCATATTGAAATAGTCATTTGTAATGGGTTTAATTAAACCAAGTTAAACCAAGATCCGAATTTAATTTTAAAGAGGAACTTATTGGGTCGTCAGTTATGTCAATTAGAGATGTGTCGTCAGCGTAAAGAAAACAGTTGGATACAATATCTACACCAATATCGTTAATATATATAAGAAAAAGTAATGGCCCAAGCACTAATCCCTGTGGGACACCAGCTTCAGTGTTTAACCAACCTGAAGTCTGCCCATCGATAACAACTCTTTGTTTTCGGTCTGTTAAATAACTACGAAACCAACTTAGAAGAGGTCTTTCAGCCCAAGAGTTTGCAATTTGTAGAGTAAACCCTTATGCCATACCCGATCAAATGCTTTAGTGAAATCAAGAAAAACCATATGTACTTCTTTCCCCATATCCAAGGCTTGGTAAATTACATAAACAATATAGGTTAATTGGTTAACAGTACTATCCCCAGGTCTGAATCCAGACTGAAAATCGCTAAGGAAATGTATTTCTAATAAAAATTCATACAGCCTTGCAAATACGATTTTTTCTGATATTTTTGAAATAGATGGAAGAAGGGATATGGGACGGTAATTCTCTTTATATTGGCTGTCATCTTATTTTGTATATAGGACTGACATTAGCTCTTTTCCATTCAGTAGGATATTCTCCTTTTTGAAAGCTTAGATTAAGAAAATTTGTAAATGATTTATGAATGCCACTACTGCATAGTTTGAGGATTTTGTTTACAATACCATCAAGACCACAAGCTTTTGTAATATCGACCCTCTCCAGTAACATCAGAACTTCTTGTTCTGTTGTATGAATTATTGATAATGTTTTATAAGTTAATAACAGTAACTGACAATTACTATCGTTAATTCTAGACTGATCAACAAAGTAATCATTGAATAAGTCCGCTTTTTCTTTCGGGTGAAAAACAAACTCAGCACCCTTTCTAATAGGTGGTATAGATGTATGATTCTTTTTATGATTAAGAGTGGATTTAATATAACTCCACCACTTCTTTGGACCTAACAAGGGATCTGATAATTTATTATTTAGTTTACGATAATACGAAGTTTTAGCTTCACGGATTAACCACGTTGTATAATTTCTCTGATTTTTGTAACAGCGCCAGAGGAAGTCAGTTTTCCTTTTACTAAATTGTTTTTAATAATTTATTTCTTTTTCGAATTGCAGTTCGTACCACCGATATCATCCAAGGTTTATCTCGAGATCGTATTACAACTATTTTATTTGGGATGTATTTGTCGAGTATAAATCGAAAATGCCGAAACCAATTTCCATAAACATTATCAATCTGGGTAGAATCTCTAATACAATTTTCCCAATTGATATTCGAAAGATCCTCATTTAGCATTGTCATGTTAATGTTGGCAAAATCCCATATGTCTCTTTTAAAAGCTTTTGGTTTAGAATGCGTAAAACTCATTTTTGCATAGATGTAGGAATGATCGCAGTTTGTGGGTGGACTAAACGTTCCTTGGTTCACAAAATATCTATGGCAATTAGTAATTATAATGTCTAATATTGTGGCTGTGTTGTATGTCACACAAGTTGGTTCATCGATTATCTGAGACAGGGCATTGCACTCGAGCCATTGATAAAAACGGTTACCAAACGTGGTACTTAGTAATTTATTTCGGTCATAATGGGTATTTAGATCGCCTACAATCATCATAGGTAAATGTTGGTTTAATCGGATTTTATCAATAACTGTCTGGAGAGCGTCCAAGAAAAATGTGGTTTCTTCCAGAGAGTTATTACGTGGTCTATAACACACCCCACACAACAAAGTTACTCCATTCATTTTAATTTCAACCCAAAGTAAGTCTAAATCCATATTTTCCAGGTCATTCCGTCTTTTGAATGCAAGTGATCGTGCTATATACAAAGCAACACTGCCACCACGCATACCAGACCTGTCTTTTCTAATGATAGAGTAATAGCCTGGAATGTGCAAATGTTCGTCAGAACTGTTATTGTGGAGCCAAGTTTCAGATACCGCAAATAGATCAAAACTCTTATCCAAAATAAATGAGGAAATTTCTTCAAATTTCTCTTCATTAGCTAAACTTCTAGCGTTTATGTGTCCAATTGTTAAACATGATATTTTTGGGCCAGGATTTAATTCAATATCTCTTGCCATTATTAACAAAATTGATAAAAGGATTACAAACAATTTACATAGACCCCATCCCTGTCTCGTCCAAGATTGAAATACCCTGGGTTTTATATTAAAACGGCATTTTCTATTATTAAACATACTGATAGCTGCTCTATAAACAACAATGCTAACCTCCATTAGGCATATAGTATAAAACTCTGCACAGCTGCTCGAAATCCACTTATTATTATAATATTACACACAAGAACCGCACAAGAGGAACCTAAATAACGTTCTTCCAGCAGAACAAAGATAGTTAAAGTTAGAATGTTAAGGACAAGTATTATAAATATAATGGGTAGGACTATAGGTGCGATTATAATAATGCTAGTTTACAAGACAGTTCATATTGAAATAGTCATTTGTAATGGGTTTAATTAAACCAAGTTAAATTTTTCAAAATCACCCATGTGATGAATTAGAATTATTTTGTCATCTTTATTACGAACTAATACCTTACCATCCGTCGTCCAGACAGATTTAATATAAATGTTATGTTCACGAGCGTATTTGAACAAACTGACGTTGTATTTGGTCAGGTCTTCATTTAGATAAAACTGTGTGCCTTTCAGATCTTTTCATCGTTTACAAATTGTGGCCTTTTTACTGTATGATTTAAATTTGACAATTAGCGGTCTTGACCGGGTTGAGATCTTTGGGCCAAGACGATGTGCGCGATCAATTTCCTCGTTCTTGAGAAAATTTCCAAAAATGTTCATCGGGGGTCCGCCATTTTTAAAATAGAGCCTTATGCTAATTTATGCTAGCATACATTTGTGACGTCATTTGATGGGTTCGGGAAATATGATTATATAAACTATTGTTGTATTTTCATATGGCAACTTGTTGTATTTTCATATGGCATCTTGAAACATTTGGTAAAATAGAGTATAGAGGGGGAACAGAATCAAATACCTATGCAAAATTAATGCATCAACATTGCGGGGACATGTTTTTCAAAATATTTGGAAGAGAACATTGAATATGAACTATGTACACACATGTTTACACGCGTAGTGCACGTCGATACACAACACGACGTTACAATGACAACACAATACAACTAATAACCAATCTTCCAAAGATTAGAATTCTACTTATATTAATATTTATACTTAAGCGAAGGGATATTATGCGTTTTAAATCGATTTCCTTCGCGCAATTTATGCACGTCCCAGGATGTTTTTCCCCGCAATGCGATTAACTTTCTAACCGCACTGCCCGATTCTTCCATGTGAGACAGGCGGTTTCCTTTCTCGTGCGTATGTTTGCGCGCATGTTTTCCCCCGTTTACAAGTTTACTATATTTTAATATAAATGAATATGTATGTATACTACACCACAATTCTACAGACAAACATGACATATCACACATTTTCACAACAGAATATTATTTGAGTTCACCACAAGACAAAGCGCGTGTTTGTGAAATCGCTCACAATAGACACGGCGGAAGGGCGAAGCTGTTGACTAGATAGCAGCAATAAACACATATGATGTCGGCTAGGGTAAAAACAATACTACCTTGGCACATCATAGAGTAGGCATAGATCAGTGTGTTTTTTTCCGGTTTGTCCCCTCGTCTAAGATCCAAGTTGAAAATACCGCCGCGTCGGTACGGAAAGATTTTAGAGAAAGCTGTCAGATATAAGGCAATAAACAAATGAAACTTTCTCATTGCTGCAAGACATAGCCTCGTGTAATCATGTCGTATTGCCCGGTATATGGCTGTAATAGCGACGCAAAAAAAAATCCTTCGGGGCTACATTTCTTTTCGTTTCCATCTGGAAAATCTGCATCTCAGCAAAAAAGAAGAAAGACATGGATCGAATTTTGCAAACGCAAAGCATTTAAGCCGTCATCCAACATTAGAATATGTTCCTTGCATTTTGCTGAAGACGCTTTGGAACCTGGACATTCGCCACAGTTTCTGAGTCGTTTAGGATGTGAAGAAACGTTTCGTGTCCAGTTAAAAAGAGATGCTTTACCAACCTTGAACAAACCCCTAACAGATGCAAGCACTAGTAAAGCAAGGACTCTTACAGAGAAAGGGCAGCGAAAAAAGGTACTGCATGATTATGAATTTCGACAATTAAATTTCACTTCAGTGCCACAATCTCAAAGCTGTACGGTAAATATTTACAATTCTTGTCAACAATTACAGGGAATATCTGAACTTCTGAAGCCAGAGGCAGAGGGGTGTTCAACAATCAGAAGACTCAACTGATGAAGAAATTGGTGATGAGCCAGGCACATCGGGGACATGTGACATATCGATCGAATGTCCAACAATGAGCCCTCAAAGCTACAGCCGAGAAAAATCCACCCAAACGCGCCAGAAACTAGGGAAAAGGTCAGTGAAGATCCAGACCATTATGACAGCAACATCCACATTTTTTCAAACAGAAATCAATGTGCCTGTGACTGTCTCTGGGTGTGTCTCGCAACAGTCACAACTCGAAATTATAGACAATGAAAAAGAACTTGTCGAGATAGAGCGAAATTAGCAGCCTCTGTACAAGTGAAAGAAATCACCATATTGAATGGATAACTGGTCCGTCGCTGTCCAAAATGCCAGCATTTCATCTGCTGTTGGCATCTGGAATTTTAGCGACAGGTATGGAAACATCAAAAGTTCTTCGACTATTTAATGCCTTGAATATACCTAATGTGAAGCAAAGGGAGATGTCAAATATTCTCAAGAATTACACCATTCCCGCGGTATACAAAGTCTGGCAAGATGAGCAAGCTGCTAGACTGCAAGAAATAGAAGCCGAACCCATTGTGATCGCGTCGGATATGCGTGTTGACAGTCCTGGTCACACAGGTTTATTTGGGTTGGGAAGCACTCTTGACATGGGAAGAAATCTAATATTAGACACGCAAGTAATCAAGGTGAGCAAATATTTAGTTTTTGATTTTGTATGGCAGTTTGGAACATTTAATGAAAGTTGTTTTGATCTTTTTAATGTCAACAGAAGTAAAAAATTCAAATGCCATGGAGCTGAAGTCTCTAAAGAGGCAATCAAACTACCTAGAGGACAGAGACATCCAGGTAACCAAGTTGGTAACAGATTGCCATACCCAAGTGTCAGCATTCATGGCAAATGAGAAACATGGAATTGAGCATTCCTATGATGTGTGGCACGTTGCAAAAGGTAACAAAATTATGTATGGCTATTATTTGAATTTCAGCATAACTGACAGTTCAGTGAACAATTGCATACCAGTATGTCACCCTCACTGATAAGTATATGAGAAAAATGTTTTAATATTTTTAAGGTAAGAAGAAAAAACTTACAAAGATTGCAAAAAAAAGAAGTTTAAATCAATTGGGCCATGGATTGGGGTAAGTCTGACATATAATTAGTAGAAAAATATATGGAATACATGATGTATAGTATAGAACGTACTTCAGATGTTACAGATTGTTCAGTATATTTTAATGTCCCTCTTACAAAAATATATTTGTTCATTTTTTTGACAGTCAATCATCAATCACATCTACTGGGTTGGTGCTTCAGGAGCAACAGCAGATGAAAGGGAAGAAAAGTGGCTTAGCATCCTCAATCATATAGTGGACATTCACAAACATGAAGGCCATAAAATTTTTACAGAATGTCTACATGGCACACTTGAAATACAGTGGTTAAAGCGAGGTAAATTGCAGAAGTTTTAACGCATTTGTTAGAATTAAATAAAATCAATTGCTAATGTATTAGTAAACATATGTCCATTTCAGGATCAGCTGCCTACAAAAAGCTAGAGGAAATGCTAACCAAACCTCGACTCATCACAGCTATTAGAAAATTGTCCCAATACCATCAAACATCTGGCTTGGAAGCAAAACATGCTTTGGACAACACTCTTGCTTCAAAGAACACATATCATTCATATCACTCATTAAGTGCAAGGTTGGTTTTTTTGCTTGACAGTTGACATTGTTTGAAATTAGGCCATTGAACACATTCCATTTTCATATTATTCAGGTTGTATTGTTCAAACTTGCACTTCAATGAGAACAGTAATAGAAAGCAAGCAACAACATCTGAGGGGAAATTAAGATGGACAATTGCTTACCCAAAGGCATTTAAAGGGGAAAAGGCTGTTGCCAAACCATTGAAAGAAAAACCAACATATGGTAAGTACTTAATTTTGCTTCTGTATAAACCTGACTATATTTCAAGTGGGTAAGGTCAATAGTCAATAAGAGTTGGAGACAAACAGTATTTCAAGTATACCTACTGCTGCTGTAAATATACTTCAATAATAACATAATTCAATAATATTTTAATTATATAGGATATGTACAATTGATACTCAAGGAAACTATTCAATTGAGAAAACAATATCCAACTATCAAAAAGGCAAAAGACCATGCAAACAAAGTGCTTCCAACTGAACCGGCAACACTTGTTGAAAAGTATTTGGTAGGAAAAGAGAGACCTTCCAAGGAAGAGGTGATAACCAGCAGAAAGTCACGATTCAGTACGCCAGCCCTACCTACAAGTCAAGCAGAACAAAGGTTATCAACAAAGCCATGTTCTTGCAAAGGAAAGTGTGCAACAAAAAAGTGCAACTGTAAAGCAACAGACATTCTCTGCGACAACAGATGCAAATGTATGGCATCAAAATGTAAAAATCGTGATGCTGACTAGGTTGATCATTCCTTAGGGTAATCCTGGCTATATCTCATGGAGTGGTATTGATAAACCAGATTGATTTTCAACTTTGATTTGAGATATTGAATGTTATATTTAGTTAGATATTATATATTTACCAGTTAATTACATTGTATGAAATCTAAAAGCATACTAAACAAAGGATGAAAGTTCTATAATAAATTAAGTATTACCTTTTTGACGTTTTGGCGTATTTAAAATGTGTATAAAGGCCATCAGACGATGCAAAACGTTCTCTTATTTTTGCATACACACAAGCAGGAAATGGTCTCCGGTTCTTTTTTCCCAAAATCTGAAAAACCCACCGAGAACATCGACAATATGCCACTAATCTATAAAGTCTATGCATTTTTTCTAAATCATTGTCATAGAGTGGCCAATTTTCTTCGAGATATTGACAAACATCAATCTTTAGAACGCTTTCTGATAACATGTTGTCTCGAAAGTCTGGATGTGTTGTCAGACATTTTTCGCCTTCTACCTCCATTTGATTGACTACTTCTACCTCCGTTTGATTGAAGTACTTCGTATTCGTCGTACTCTAGTGCTTTTTCATAGCAGCAAAAACATTCCACAGCCTTTGTTGATAATGCACAATGTCCACACTTACACCAACTAAGATCTTCAAGGCGCCAAGCATTCGCTCTTTCGAACTCGCGATCGAAATCCTCGTCAGAGGAAGATGAATCACTACCGCTTTCGGCATCGCTATCGTCGCTTGAATCACAAGATTTTCCCAGCGCCTCTGGCTCATATTGGTAGGGCAACACTTCTACCTGGTTTTCGTGAATATGTTCCATGACAATCATAAAAAAACTACAACTCCCTTTTAAAAGCAACAAATCTCGATAAACACAGTAAACACCGCTAGTAAAATATATTGATGTGTTTAGGGAACCCATCGAATGACGTCACTTCCGCCAAATATAATTTTTTCAAAAATTGATCCAATATGGCGGACGAGGTCCAAATTTTAGCTGAATTGTGGTGAAAATAACTCATGAACGAAATATTTTTAGATCAAATTAATATAATATCTATAATTAGATGGTGGAACACTTAAAAAATCGCGAATAAAAATTTTGGTTGCCAATGCCCTTTAACGATGTTTAGATGCAGCTTTCCCTCAACAAACTGAACTACCTCTTTAACGCAATCTTCACCATCGGTTTCGTCCAACCCTATAATTCGTAGGTTATATTTTCTTGAGTATTGCTCATTTTCATTCGCTTTTATCGTGACATTTGTTAACTCTGTCTCCAGCGCTTCAATTCGCTTTAGAAGAGGAAATGTAGCTTGTTGGACGGACTGTTCGATGAGAGTATTTACTGCTTCAGATAGAATCGTCTTAAAGTCAGTTTATTTGAAAAATTGGTGCAGCTCACTTTGTATAGCTTCCTTCATGTCTGCTTGAAATTCATCAGGTTGATATGTCGTTTGTCTTGTAACTGGCATTTTGATATTCTTTAATAACGAAATATTATAAATGTGCACCTTAATATAGCCACATGTACAAGTTACATAGTAGAAATTAGCTTCTCAGTATATAATTTGATTAAATTGTAGGAGCTCTACGAGACACGTCTGCACTCGCTGACAATGCACGTGCTATAACGTGTTTAATAACTTGTCAGTTGATTAATAACTTGGAAAACAACAATTGACTATATACATTGGCTTCTGCACAAGCTCTTGATGGGCCAACTCACTTATTATTTCACAAATGTTTTCTTTAGTTGGCATCTTGCAACACTTCAAAGATGATAAAAAATCTGTAATATCCTCATTAACATATTCAAAATCAGGTCTAAGGCACTTCTCTAAAGTCTCTTGATCTTTAGCTGCAATATAATCCTTCAAGAGGGATAAATTCTGTGGTTATGCACTCATCACCAAACAAACATGATGCAATGAACAATGGTGACAGCTGAATAGGGAAGTAGTTATAGTTTTTAAAGCCGAATAGAAGAACCCGTGCAAAAGATTCCCACTCACGCTTCTGCATGTCGTGCTGAATGAATGGCATTTTGGCCTGTCTGCCCACTGTCAATGAGGTGAAGCATTCATTCCAAAAATTGGCTAAAACATCTAGCACAACACCTTTGCCTTTACCAACCTCTTTTTCACCCTGAGGATCAATGACCACAACAGCATCAAGACTAGAAATATTAGGTGGAGTTGCTGGACGGACAGGGCTAGTGTTAACACACATTTGGTCAACTATTCCACCATTAGGTAAACTAGCTTGATTAGTTGGACTGGAATGGATGAATGTTGAAGTATTAGGTGGACTAGATGTTATAATAGGGAAGGTGTTGACACACAATGGGTCAACTGTATTACTATCTGGTAACCTGGCTTGGTTAGGTAAGCTTGAAGGAATAGATGAGTTCGGTTCAGGTGTTGGAGTTATAGGAAAAGGATGGAGGGAACAATGGAGGATTGCAGTCAATGATATCTTCAGTATCATCTTTGTTCTAAAAAAAAAATCTTGTTCTAAAAAAAAATCAGGTGTCTGTTCATCAACAGTTTTATCCTGTTTAGTTTAAAAACACAATTTTGGGACAGTTCTCTGGCTGTGTAGGTTATTTATTCATTTTATTTGTTATGTATTATTACATGATTGTTTTAAAACCTGTGAAATAAAAGACAAAATATAAACCATTTTTTAAAAAGATTTCTTTTAGCCTAATCAAACAACAAATTGACAGCAGAAATAATACCTGAATTGGCTTTTAGGCTTTTTAGCTGGGTTACTTATGTTCATTAACAATTGCCTGCTTGGACAATAAAAATAGAGGTTGGAGGATGGCACCATCAATGCCTTGCTGATCTGGAGCCAAAGTTGGAGCAACTAGAGTTGTGTGCATTGACATTAAAATTTCTGTCCATGTCTGAAGGAATTTTCCCCTCAAATGCTTGAATAATTGTGATTACAAATTGTGGCTGTCATTCCCTTGGTAAATCTGCATGCTGAGATAACATGGCCATTTCCCATTAATGCTAAACGAGATCCTTGTCTTGGAGCATGTACTGTGTCTGGACCATTAAGCAAACTCAGATCACGCATGAAAGGCCTGTTGTCAATTTTACTTGGTGGTCTTGGTTGACGGGAGGATTGAGGTCTTGGTCGCTGCCCTGAAAAATTGTGCCTTGCCATGAAATTTCTGTAGTTGTTTGGCAGAGTAAGCTGGGAAACATTTGATTGTCTTGGTTGTTGAAGTGTGCTTGGATGCACAGTCTCGCTAGCTGTCACAACAGGAACAGAAGCGTTACAATCATTGGATCTTGGCTGACTTCGGCCACCAGTAAACACTCATCTGACTTTGTTTTCAACTCTATCATTTCTTTGCAAAGACATCAAGACTGGACAACAATTGACGAACAGTACTTTGCATTTGATTTGCATCTCTTCCCGCCATCATGTAAATTCATGAATGGCAAGTCGAAAAGGACGTGTATGAAATTTGTGTATGACATGTGTGACATTTGTGAAATGTTGCACGTAAACATAAAGTGTACATGAAGTGTCTCATGATTTTAAATCAACTGCTGTACATTTCTACTGTCAAAAATCTCGACCCGATGTATAATTCTCAAACCAATGTTTAATTCTCAACTATAGGTAACAAATTCGAACATGCTATGAAATATTCTTGAGCATATATATAATATTGCTTGAAATTCTCATACGTAGGTTAATATTCTTGATTACCGCTTTGTATTCTCAATACACTTTTGTCACATTTGGCTTGCCATACATCCCTGTTTCTAAAAGTGCTGTGGAATGAGGATTATTAAGAAGAGAGTATGAGTTAAATAATCCACATTTCATTAACACTTTTTAAAAACACTCCAGCAATATAGGCATCATATTTACTGTTCACATCGAAATTCTTGCAATAAACATTCAAATTATCATCATACAAACAAAAAAAATATCAAGAAGTTGTTGAATCAAATTTGATTTCAAATTAAATTTTTCACAATTTAAAATTTTATGCACTTAAATTCTACTCAAAGAGCACTCAAAGAGCACCTAAATTAAACAGTGCTTAACTAACATTACTTAACTAAATTGATACCTAAACTAAACAGTACTTAAACTAAACTTCACGCTCAATAAGACAATTAAATGCCTGTTTACATGACAAGCGTTTTGGGCACAGCACCCTTGAAAACAGGCACCTGTGCCCAAAATTTTCGGCACAGCACCTCAGCGTTTTACCGTATAAACAGGACAAAAATCGGCACAGGTGCTGAAAAATTAGACATGCTGAGACTTTCTCACGAGGTAGTCTCGGCACGTCTACCCAGAGGTGCCATGCCAAAAAATGGAGAAGCATAAAAATGCGTTCGACATCGAGCATGCACAAAACAATTTCTCCTCTTAATTCCAACATGGCGGCAAGCGGCAATAAAACTACAACTTACAAGTGTGGTAGGACGATGCAACAAACTTTTTAATTGATATTTGGAGCGAGGAAGTTACCCAACTGCAGTTGGAAAACTGCAAGACGTCAAAACAAACGTCAAAAATTTATGAAGCAATACTGGTTAGTCATTTAAGCATATTTTGATGATAAGGCTTCGATCAAGGGCAATTTATATTAAATCATAAATAAAAAATGGCTATTGTGAAGGCTTTGCAGCCTGGGATGTTGTCAATAAAGTTAAAAAGTTGAGGCAAAAGTACAAGGCAGAGAAAGACAAAAAGCGAAGAAAGGGAACTGGCAAAGGGAAAGAATGGAAATTTTTCCAAGTTGGACGCATTTTTATTAACTAAACCAAATGTAGAACCGCTGCTCGTCATTGACACCATGGCAGAAAGTAGCGTGAATGAAGGAACTACAGAGGAAAAAGATGATCCTGTTGAAGGTGGGTAAAATGCTTCCCCTCTGTGAAAAAGCATCATTGTACGCCTTTATGTGGGAACTAATTTATTTCTGGCATCTTTGTGGTTTTTCTCAGATTTG